GATCCGCGAGAGCGAGGTCAAGGCCCTGTGCGCCAAGGCCCGGTAATTAGCGCTAATTAACACTAATTAATGTTAGTTAGTGAGGGTGGGATGGGCATTGATGGGTGTTGTGCTTGTTACAGCTCGTTAGTGCTCATTAATGGTGATTAACAGTCATTAACGGTCACTGACGCTGATCCGCGAGAGCGAGGTCAAGGCCCTGTGCGCCAAGGCCCGGTAATTAGTGCTAATTAACGCTAATTAGTGATCGTTAGTGAGGGTGGGATGGGGATTGGTGGGTGTTGTGCTCGTTAGTGCTCATTAACGGTGATTAACGGTCATTAACGGTCACTGACGCTGATCCGCGAGAGCGAGGTCAAGGCCCTGTGCGCCAAGGCCCGGTAATTAGCGCTAATTAACGCTAATTAGTGATCGGTAGTGAGGGTGGGATGGGGATTGGTGGGTGTTGTGCTCGTTAGTGCTCATTAATGGTCATTAACGCTCATTAACGGTCATTAACGCTCATTAATGCTCATTAACGGTCATTAACGGTCATTAAGGCTCATTAATGGTCATTAATGGTCATTAACGGTCATTAAGGGTCATTAACGGTCATTAACGGTCATTAAGGGTCATTAACGGTCATTAACGCTCATTAATGCTCATTAACGGTCATTAACGCTCATTAACGGTCATTAACGGTCATTAACGGTCATTAATGGTCATTAATGGTCATTAATGGTCATTAATGCTCATTAACGGTCATTAACGGTCATTAATGGTCATTAACGGTCATTAACGGTCATTGACGGTCATTGACGGTCATTAACGCTCATTAACGCTCATTAACGCTCATTAACGGTCACTGACGGTCATTAACGGTCATTAATAGTCATTAACGGTCATTAACGCTCATTAACGGTCATTAATGCTCATTAACGGTCATTGACAGTCATTAACGCTCATTAACGGTCATTAATGCTCATTAATGCTCATTAACAGTCATTAACGCTCATTAACGGTCATTAAGGTCATTAACGGTCATTAACGGTCATTAAGGCTCATTAAGGCTCATTAATGCTCATTAACGGTCACTGAGGCTCATCCGCGAGAGCGAGGTCAAGGCCCTGTGCGCTAATTAACGCTAATTAACGCTAATTAGTGATCGTTAGTGAGGGTGGGGTGGGCATTGATGGGTGTTGGTGTTTGTTTCCCCTAATTAGCGCTCATTAACGGTGATTAAAGGTCATTAACGCTGACTAATGCTCATGAACGCTGATTAACGCTCGTTAATTAGCGGTAATTAACGCTCATAAGTGCTAATTAACGCTAACTAGCCCTCATTAACACTCATTAACGCTAATGAGTGTCCACTAATGCTCATTAGTGCTAATTAATGTTAATTAACCCCAATTAATGCTCACTGACATTTATTAATGCTCATTAGTGCCAATTATGCTAATTAACCCTTGTTAGCACTCACTGACACTAATTAACTCTCATTAATTAATGCTCATTAAGGCTCATTAGTGCTAATTAATGCTAATTAACCCCAATTAAGTCTCACGACACTAATTAACTCTCCTTACTGAATGCTCATTAGTGCTAATTAACGCTAATTAACCCTTGTTAACTCATTAACTCTAATGAATGCCCATTAACGCTCATTAGTGCTAATTAACGCTAATTAAGGCTTGTTAACTCTCATTAACACTAATGAGATTCCATTAAGGCTCATTAGCGCTAATGAACCCTGATTAACCCTCGTTAGCACTCACTGATGCTAATTAACATTCATTAAGGCTCAT